GCAAGCGCAGAGACTAACAGTGATGGCCCTCACTGCCAGGTGACAGGGGAGCTCACACAGGGGCAGGCGTCCAGGTGAACCTCAGCAACCTGCCATCCTGCAGGCTCTACCCATGCCGGCTGGCTGGGTAATGGATACCTTGGATGGCAGAAGGGTCAGCTGATGGGTCGCATCCGGTGGACCCATGCTGTGCCAATGCCTATAACAGCTGTAATCAATAAAGTTGTGGCTAATTTTATCCACCTAATTTCCAAAGAAACTGTGTGGGTGGGTTTTATGGTGAAGGGGGCAGTGTAAGGCGGACAAAGCCACTCCATCCTGAATACGACCTGGAACCGCAACAGCTTCAATATGGAGAGCAACAAAAAACATGTCATGCAGCAGTGTCTAAGCCTTGCTCTTAGGGTTGCCAACTCTGGGGTGAGAAATTTCTGGAGACTTGGGGGTAGATCCTAGGGAGGGTGGGGTTTGGGGAGGGGAAGGGAAGGGAGGGACCTCAGTGGAGTATAATGAATCATAAATCCACATAGAGTTGGAAGGGGTCATATGGGGCATCGAGTCCAACCCTCTGCTCAATGCAGGATCAGCATAGAGCATCCCTGACAAGTGTTGGTCCAGATGCTGCTTAACGACTGCCAGGGAGGGGGAGCTCACCACCTCTGGAGGCAGCCCATTCCACTGTTGCATGACTCTTACTGGAGAAAAGTTTTCCCTAAGATCCAGCCAGTACCTTCCCAGCCTTAATCCAAACCCATTATTGCGAGTCCTATCTTCTGATGCCCACAGGAACGGCTCCCTGCCCTCCTCTAAGTGACAGCCCTTCAGATACTTCCAGAGAGCAATCACGTCCCCCCTCAACCACCTCTTCTCCAGACCAAACATTCCGAAGTCCCTCAGCCTTTCCTAGTAGGACTTCTTGGTCTCCAGGCCCCCGATCATCCTCATCGCTCTCCTCTGCACACACTCCACGGAGTCCACCCTCCAAAACTGCCATTTCCTCCAGGGGAACTGATCTATGTCATCGAGAGATCAATTATGATTCTGGGAGGTCTCCAGGCCCCACCTTGAGCTTGGCAACCCTACAAGTCACTCTAGAACTAATTAGGCCGGGCGATTTAAAGGCAAGCCTTCAGACTAACAGCTCATTAGTTTTGTTCAAAAAAGAAGAGAATGTCTCTTAAATGGTAAATCCATTTAACTTTTTTGCAACAGCAAAGTACAAAAATAATATACATTTAAATTAGAGTATATTTTCTATAAAAATAATCTTTACCACTTAGAATAATACATGACTCTGGAGGGGCTCCTTCCTCTATCCAAACACTTCAATGAAAAAAGTATCTTTATTAATTTTTTAATTGTTCCCATCTTTCCGTTTGCCTCAAGTCTGAACCATTCTTCCAATCACAGAAACAGTGGAAAGAGATCCACTTAAACTGGATGAAGGCCCCTTGTGCTCAAGGAAGCCTGCCTGGAAGATGTTTGGATCCACTCCACTGTGTTCATCATACAAAGATCAGTTTCCCCTGAGGAAAGGGCTCCTTTGGAGGGTGGACTCTCTGTGGCATTGTCCCTCACTGAGGTCCTCATCTTCCCCAAACCCCATCCATCCCCAGGTTCAAACCTCCAGGAATTTTTTTACAGAATCTTCCAGCAAAAATGGTATTTCTAATCATGCTTGCTTGTTCTCCTTGGCCTATAGATCAATTTACCATGTTTATTTCCTTTCACATTAGCACTGTTACTAAATCAATCTGAACAAAATGGTCAGAATTATCTACTACAGGGTTCAGGGAGAGAATGAGATTATCTGGCTGGCCTTGACATTATCCAGTCATGACTGGTTGAAATAAAACAGGAGTCAGTCAGATCCAGAGAAGGGGCCAGATCTATGACCACTGGAGCTAGCCTGCTTATTTTAGTTAGTAAAGTAAGATACCAGATCATTCATGGTCACGACACCCCAGGCCCGTAGCTGCAGTGGGGCATCTTGGGGCCAGGCCCCCTGACTTACTGGTGAGCCTCCCCGACTTCCCCCCCCCCCAGGGCCCTCAAGTGGCAGCAGGTGCAGGGAAGGAGCAGGGTATTCCTTTAATTTGATTAGCCAGTGCCCCCTAAGAAATGTATATGCCCCCCAACTTTAAAAATCCTGGCTACGAACCTGCGGCACCCAGGCCTGGCATAAAAACTGGGCTTAGTCGGTCATTCGCCGGCCAATGAGAGCTGCCAGTGGGAAATAACGAGAGCTTCTGCTGTGAAATAATTGTTTTTTTCACACTTTACAAACTTCACCATAGTAAAGTGGAAAATGGCAACTTTATTACTTTACAGTGACAAATGCTAAGCTCGTGCCAAAGGACAAATTGCCCACTCTAATGACACACAAGTATCCCCTTCTCCCAAATCAGTGGACATCAAGGAGATTAAAAAAAAAAATCTGCATGTCACAGATGCAGCAGGAGAAAGGTCTTGCAAGCACTGTGTTGGGCAGCGTGACAGAAAATTGTTGTTGGTGTTTAATATTTGTCCCCAGTGTTGTGTTAACTGTGCCAAAGGAGTGCAAGCCATTGTTCTAAAAAAACTTTAAAAAATCTTCAGGCATTCTTTGTATCTTGTTCTCTCCACAACTGGAATCTTGTGTTGATGCACACTACAGACACTTCTGACCAGGCAAAGGACTGCATTTTTTTTCTGGAACAACATAATGCTGTGAAATGGCCTTACAGCATTTGCCAAAACCGACCCTGAATGCTCTGTCTCAGAAGAAGAAGAGATTAGATTTATACCCCACCCTTCACTCGGAGTCTCAGAGTGGCTTACAAACTCCTTTCCCTCCCCCTCCCCACAACAGACACCCTGTGAGGTAGGTGGGGCTGAGAGAGCTCTTTCAAGAACTGCCCTTTCAAGGACAACTCTTGTCAGAACTATGGCTTGCCCAAGGTCATCCAGCAGCTGCAAGTGGAGGAGTGGGGAATCAAACCCAGTTCTCCCAAATTAGAGTCCACACATTTAACCACTACACCAAACTTCTATTAGTTAATTTATGGCTCCTTTTGACTTCCAGTTTATGGCGAGACACTGGCGGACGCATCTCCCGGACTTCCTGGGGATGTGATCTGCACACCAGCGGATAGGAGGGGGGGGGCGATGGGTCCCCCCCCAGAGCCTTGGCAAAAGGCTCCTAGCAATGGGGCTTTTGAGGGGCGACCTCTTCGCCAGTGCGATGATGGGGAATTGAGGCGCTCCTCCGCCCTGATGGTCCTGCCGCTGAGTATCCGTATGGATCTAGAGCTGCTGACCGGGACAAGCATCGGAGATCAAGCATTTTAAACGTATTCCAAGCAAGGTTGTATGATCAACAATGAACAGTGAGTTGGGTTAAAGGGAATACGAGAATTTTTTTTTTAAGCTACCCCCCAGGAACTGCGAGAAAAGCGAACGGGGGAGGGGCCCCTCCCATGTGAATGAACTAAAAAACGATATACCAAGGGGGGAGCGGAAGAAAAAGTGTTGAAATCTGTTTTGCAGTGAATTGGTTAGCCAATGGAGTGCTGGCTGGGGGAAGTCTAAGGTGCCTCATACGTCTCTCACGGCTTCTTGGTTGCACCTCAGAGGATTTGAAAAGCTCTTTCTCAACATTTAGCAACCTCCTGTTGCCCACATCTGTATCTTATGAGCAGCATAATCATTCAGGCACCAGTGGGTTTATGTGACCCTCTTCTCTTTAGATGGCAATAGACCATCTGCTTCTTACAATTCAGAATCGTTGCCAGAGTTCTCTGTTTATTCACTCATTTAGAATTAATTTCATTATTAGTTACTTCACTCTCTAACTGGTTGTTGCTTTTTGCTGTCAAGTTGCAGCTGACTTCTGGCAACCCTGAAGGGTTTTCAAGGCACAAGGTGTTCAGAGGTGGCTTGCTATTGCCTGCCTCCCTAAACCTTCATTATGCTGTATGCTGATTTGATGCTCAACCTCTACCTATATGTATGGACTGGTAACTTCCATTTCAACGTATCTGAAGAAGTGTGCGTGCTCACAAAAGTTTATACCCAGAATTAAACTTTGCTGGTCTTAAAGGTGCCCGACTGGACTCTGTTTAGTTTAAGATATGCAGTTCTTGGGAGGAGCCGACATTTACACCCTGAGATTCCTGAGGCTGAGGGGAGGAGGCTAATACTCACTTTAAGAATAAAAGCATGGCTGATAAACTGTCCTCTGCACCCAGGAGTTGGCGACTGAAATGTTATAATTTAATAAGCCCAGTCAGTGCTGTGTGTTATACCTGTAAATAGTTTTAAGCCTGTTTACTGAACAACCTTATTTTCCCTGTCCCTGACAGTGAGTAAAAGTCACTAGGTTTCCACCTCCTGTTTCCCTGACATCCCATCTGAAAAAAGGGCCTTGAGAAGGCCACTTGAGTTCATTCTGTCAGGAGATGAGTTTAGTGCTTGTGTTGGGTTAGCAAAGCGTGTTTGAACCGCTTTTGAGGGAAGCTACTTTTCTCCATTTTCTACCCCTTCATTGGGCTTCTGAATCACTGTGGTGTGCTGTTTAAAATGCCCATAGCACTTCCAACAATGCCACTTTCCCCCCACCCTTTTTTGCCACATGATTTTTCTCAGACTTTAAAAAAACATTTTAACGTGAATGCTATAGCGCTAAATCGCTATAGCATATAGCGGCACCATTGAGATGGATTGACTCCATTGAGCCAATGCATCTCAATGAGGCAGCTATAGCACTGGAGTCCCAAAGACTCCTCCGCTCAGACACAACATTGGGGGAGGGGGGAGGAATGCAAGAAGCAGGAGGGGAGAGATATGTGCTGAGAAAACATTCCGTGCTATCAAAAGTTTTACAATAAAGAAAGACTATAGAGTCTTTCAGTGATGCCCTGGCCCCTGAAACCAGTGCATTTTGTCCTGTGGTTTTATTTGTAAAAGAAGGAAGGGGCAGAGGCAGTGTGAGATCCCAGAGAATATAGTGAGAGAAGAAAAGGAAGTTGGGCTTACTTCACTCCTGGTCTCTGAGGAGGGCCCGGGTGAAGCTCTCTGTCTGGAGAATGGAGCCATCCCTTCGGCTGTGGCTACTCGTGCTTGCATCCACGGGCTGCGGGACAGGTGAGTGCCATGCATGCCCTCTCCACAAATTGGCACAGAATGATGCCGAGGGTTGCCAGGTCCCCCCGGCCACTGGCAGGGGATGGAGGGTTGCCAGATCCAGGCTGGGAAATTCCTGGAGATTTGGGTGTGGAGCCTGGGGAGGGCGGGGACCTCAGTGGGGTCCAATGCCATACTGTCCCCCTCCAGAGCAGCCATTATCTCCAGGGGAACTGGCCTCTGTAGTCTGGAAATCAGTTGTAATTCCAGGGGATCCCCAGGCCCCACCTGGAGGTTGGCAACCCTATGTGACCTCAGCAGTATTTAACACCAAGAAGACAAAATGTGTTATTCGCTGCTGTAAATGTAATAAAGGGAATGTTGCGGATGGGTTCTCCTTTGGTGGAGGGGTTCTCTGAAGAAAAGAACTATGGGTGTGAGATGCTCAGAATTCTGGTGAGTGTAACTGGATGCAGCCTCTGAACCTTGAACCCCGTACAAAGAAGCCGTTTACTTGTGATGAGTCAGTGGAGCAAATGCGGACATGGACACGGGGGGGGGGTAGGGATGCACACTGCAGCACGGATCGGTTGCACCTCCTCTTGGACGCACATCTGAACAGGTACCAAGTTTATGCTTGCAGTTTGCATGCGGGGTGTGCGGGTGTGACTTGTGTGCACGAGCCTGCTGGTGTGGGCAGATCTCTTCACTGGTTGTGGGTTAGCTGAGAGCCCAGGCAAAAGGACAGACGTGTGCAGTGACCCTCCTGGCGGCTGCAGAAACGGTCCCAAACAAGGCAGTGGAAGTCTCCATGATCGTCCAAGTGGCTGCCGAGGTTCTGGGCCGGAAGCAGAATACAGCAATGACTGGGCCAGCAGTGAGGAGCAACCCAGCGCTCTTCTCGGGAGGCGGGTCATCTGGTAAAGCCTCTCTGCCCTGGCACTGACTGAGTGGTCTGGTTGCCCCAACACAGAGACCCATCAGAATTATTTGGAGGAGATGAACTGTGGATCATGCAGAGATGCAGGGTCAGCCTCCTGCATAGGTCCGTACTTGGGTCTCAGAGGGGTGCTTAATTGTAAAGTGTCTGGGTTGTTCTTGGCACTTGAACACTTCGCTCTAGCCGCTCCTGTCCCAAGACCCTGGGAATCCGTTCACTGGGGTCGAAACTGATTTAATGCCAAGCTGATTCTCAGTGCAATTTGAACATACAATGCAAGTTCTTCTTTTTTTGGGGGGGGGGCAAATAATTTGGCACCTATAGTGATAGGAAATTGGGATTCTGCTTAGTTTTCAGAAAGAAGCCACTGTCTCCAAAGCTGGCGCAGCTCTAGCAAAAGGACCTTGTTCTGCTGCTTCAGACCAACACGCTCCCCACCAGAACAGAGCCCCTTTAACAAAAGTTCTTGGACTTTGGCTCAGTGGAAAAAACTTCCTGTCTTCATTCACATTCGGAAGGGGATGAGAAGTACAAAATTACAGACCCGTGCCTGTTTTATCTACAATATTGCAAAATGTTTAAATATAGGCTTGTGGCACACCACGGCCGCCTTCAGACTGGCAGTTTGGCCCAACAGCCAAACGTTTCAGGAGCGTTTCACTAGTGGATTAAAGGGGCGAGTTCACACAGGCACAGCTGTCTGGCGTCCCCCAGCCCTACTCAAGCCGTCTTGTACCGCTTCCCTCCCGAGTTTTAAAAGTACCTGGTGGAAGTGGTAGCAAACTGTGTGGAGAGCAGGTTGATTCCGGTTCCCTGACGTGTGAACACAAGAGCTGTAAGGCGGGAACAACCCGCAGTCGTTGATAATAGGTGCTGGCTGTTTCCACGGCAGGCGCATGCGCATAGGCGCATGCAGCGGAGCACAGAAACAGTCGCTAACAGCCCGCCAGGGGCAGGCCAACAGTATAAACCCTCCCTTGCGCTTCCTCCATGGTATCCTCCTACTTCATTTGCTGCAGTGTGAACGGGAATGCCGTGACCAAGTCGTTCTGGGTCTGTTCCAGGTCTTCTTTGACGTGACTCCCTAGTGCTGCAAACTGCCAGTCTGAACACAGCCCATGTGTCACATATCTTCCTAACAGAATACCTTGTGTGTCTGTTTTTATGAGTTAAAATTGAGACCTCCCTTTAGGCAGTGCTGCAGGCAAGACACAGCAGAGAAAAGGCAAATTCAATCTTGGGTTGTATTAAAAGGGCCACAGCATCAAAATCGCAGGAGGTCATAGCCCCTCTGTATACTGCCTTGGTCAGGCCGCACCTGGAGTCCTGTGTGTGCGGTTCTGGAGTTCTCACTTCAAAAGGGATGTGGCGGGCAAAATCGAGAGGGTGCAGAAGAGAGTGATGAGGATGATCAGGGGTCTGGAGACTGAGCCCTATGAGGAAAGGCTAAGGGCCTTGGGAATGTTTCATTTGGAGTAGAGGAGACTGAGGGGGGACATCTTTGCTCTCTTTAAATATTTGAAAGGCTGTCATTTGGAGGAGGGAAAGGAGCTGTTCCAGTTGGCAGCAGAGGAGAGGACCCGAAGTAACGGGTTTAAATTATTTATTTATTTATTTATTTATTTATTTATTTATTTGGGATTTATATCCCGCCCTACCCATACGGCCCAGGGCGGCAAACAAGCGGCAACGCCGGAGATAAAACATAAATTACATTAAAACCTTAATAAATACAGACTAAAATGGTGCTCTACAATTCATTTTAAAAGTTCAAGGTGGTCGATATCACTCACTGGCGGCCGATGGTATAAGAAGCAGGGACGCCAGAGTAATGTTCCTCTTGTGGGCAACGATAAGAGCTCCGTCTTGCAGGCCCTGCGGAACTGTACCAGGTCCCACAGGGGCCGGATCTCCGGCGGGAGCTCAGTGCACCAGGTAGGAGCCGCCACCGAAAAAGCCCTGGCCTTGGTTAGGGCAAGCTTGATATCCCGGGGGCCTGGAACCTCTAGGAGGTCCAGACTCCCCAATCGCAGAAAGGTATCGGCTGGATATTAGGAAAAACTTTTTCATGGTCAGAGTGGTTCAAAGGTGGAATCAGCTGCCTAGGGAGGTGGTTAGCTCCCCTTCACTGGCAACCTTCTAGAAGAGGCTGGGTGAATATTTGTCAGAGATGCTTTAGGCTGGTCCTGCATTGGGCAGGGGGTTGGACTAGATGGTCTGTATGGCCCCTTCCAACTCCAGGATTCTGTGATTCTATGAAAGAAGCAATGATGTGTGAGAGTACCCTTCCCCCCTCCCCCCACAAAAAACATGTCCTCACTAATTGCTGTGCAGGGCAAATGCTCGAGGTGGTGTGTACAGAACACACACCTGCCCACTCGTATGATCACTTCATCCATCTGGCAGACTTGGAAAGAAATGTGGTAGTCTTTCAGGCACCAAAAGAAGCCCGCCCTATTAGTTTTTGTTTGCTGAATTTGGAGCTTCCATTGATGTATTTAAGAAAATGCTACTTTATGGGGAAAGTGGAACCATGGGGGGGGGGGGCGGTGTTGTGCCTGTTGCAGAGAGGTTAGAAGGATCTGATTTTCAGAATGTAGCAACAACATCACGTTGAGCAAGGGTGTTGCAGAGAGGTTAGAAGGATCTGATTTTCAGAATGTAGCAACATCACGTTGAGCAAGGGCAATGAACTTTTACCCCTAGTGCGTAAAAGCTGACCAAGTTGCATGATTTTCTGGCATGGTAGCTTCTTCACAAAAGTCTATAGGGGTGTGTGTGTGTTAGGGACTCATGGACTCATGGAATAAAGCTATAACCAGAGTTCAGATGCTTGTGCAGAGGGAAGGCCCTGTTGGAATATACAAGGTCTATAGTGCACCTACTTGAAGAAAATCAGAAACACGGGTTAAGGGGAAAGCTGAAGCTAGCATCACTAGATTAAGGACTTCTTGTCTCCTGATTGGCTCTTTGGAGCCTTCCTGCTCCAACTGAGCCTTCCCCTTCGTTACAGTCTCTCATAGCAGTTAGTCAATTAGTTAAGTCTCTCTCCCTTTCCACTGTTCTATTAGAGTTTATTTCTTCTTTAATAAACTGAGTTATTTTCTTTAAACAGTTGGTGTTCTGCATATTTGGACTCTGTCAACAGGGTTCTGGGCCCAACATGAGCACCACTGTGAAAAAGAGGAAAGTTTACATAGATTGATAGGCAAAAAGAAGAAATGGCAAAATGGCTGCTTCCTGCACAACTCAGCACAACTACCTAATAGATAGATTGACTGACAACAATTTTCTCATCTGGAGGGAGAGAATGAAAACCTACTTGCTTGAAATGGGACTTTAGTACATCATTAATGAATCCTGGCTGGGTAATGACACCCGAGCAAAGCAGAAGTCCTGGAGCATGCACAACGAGAAGGCAAGAGGTGCATTAATAAAAGGTTTATCCGATAGAGATGTTTTGCAAGTCATTTAAATGCAATCTGCAAAGGCAGTCTGGAATGAATTGGAGAGACTTTATGTTAACTCCTCTCTAAAGAGGCAGCTCTATATCCAAAATAAGTTATTTAGCAGAAGGATGCCTCAATCTGTGAGAGCATTTAGATCAAATGATTTCTCTGGGTCAAGAGCTAAGAAGTCTGGCTAAGATATTGCAGAACAGGATTTGGTTGTTTAGATTTGAATTAGTCTATCCAAGACTTATGAAAATGTTTTATGCCACATAAAGTCAAAAGGAAATCTCTCTCTCTGTCAAATGTGATAAATGAACTGGAGGAAACATTCAAACATAAACTGTTTGAGGAGCCCAAAAGAAAGGCTAAGCAGAATGCTGGCCAAGTAGCTCTACAGGTAAATAATAAAAACAAAGTAACTTGCTATTCATGTGGAAAACAGGGGCATGTTAAAAGGGGCTGCAATCAGTGTGAGCTAGTTCACAGTTTTTTAACCCCCAGCTCACAGATTTTTGTCTTAGCTGGAAGGATGGCTCCAGAGCAAACTAATTTATGCAGTAGCCAAATGGATTGATCACAACTTCAATGCTAGTAGTTCACAAAGTAGAATTTTTGCCCACAGCTTAGAG